AACCCAAGATGAACGATCCTGTGATAATGGAACTGACGTCAACAAATGCCTCTTGATGTCAAATTAGGAGGAAAAATGAAAGCTGTGTACAAAAGTGGCAAACTCAGTGTCATACAGCATAGTTTGTATTGTATACTTATTTGGAGTACTTTTCTTCTTCGAAAAATCGGAGGTGTAATATTATTGAAAGCAGATTTTTATTTGTGAATTGTGACTGGAAGTTTCACATATCGATCACGTTTAGCGGGAGGGAGCATTTGGCCGATCAACTTTACCCATAATATCACATTTAACTGCAACGCTGCCTCATTCATAAAGGCTCAAGTCGGGGACCAACTCTGGTAATCAAATTACTCCATCGTGAAAGTCAAGTAATCACTTTGTTAAGCAGCTGAACTTTGAATTGTTCAATGAAACATAACCCCTGGAGTAGTGTGTTTCCAAAACAAGTTCTTTCTCAGGTGGTTATCTGTTATTCCTAAAAATATTACTGAACATGAATTCATAATCGTTCCTGAGGTGTATTGAACGCATGTCGAATTGCAATACGCAATAAACCAATAAATATGTTGTATTTAAAAGAAATAAGATCAAAGTTTTAGTCTGAAACAAGTCACCACTAAAAATAACACCACAGAAAAGACGACATTTTTCAAGCAACAGTGAAAATCGATCTGGGTTGCTGCTCGAACAAAGGGAATATTTACGTAAAACTATTCTAATTAATAAGCGCGATCAGCCCGGAGTCACGCACATACACACACCACTCAGTGATAATGCAAACAAAAGCGCTTACCGACTATACAAAACGGTCTCCGAGCAAACTGAATTCGTCCACGCCATGTTTGGTAGCGTGATCGACATCCGGCGCTCCATAGCCTGATACAGTATTCAGTAAAAAACCAGAACAAAATGCCAAGTTCCTGTAAAACAGAAGAGTAATTGAAAACGATGGGATAGATTTGTCATACCCACTCAGGGGAGATCGATGGCAATTTTAGTATTCCGCATTTGGAAATGCAATCATTCTCGTATATCGTGAGAATCAAAACTGCGCAAAAGCTTGACCAAACTCTTGTTGCTTCAGCTAAAACCCAGTGAGAAGGATAGAGGGACAGTGCTTTGTAAATTTCGTGCCCGTTGGTGACATTACAGTTAAGAATTCCATGAATTTACCTTAACCAGAATTTATTAGATTTGCAGTTCACCTATTTGCAAACAGAACTATCTGGACATTCCTTTTAGCGCACAAACGGTGCCGAAGTTTGACGTGACTTGGAGATAGATGACGTTCCTCGGTTTGATACCCGATTTCCCCGGCGGGTATTTCGATTCTTGATAAGGCCCTACATTTTAGTGACAAGTACAAAGATATACCAATTGTAGTTCGCAATTCGGAGCATGTTTGGTGCTTATTTCCTGTATTGCACACGCGATAAACTACCCATTCGTCGCACAGGTAACAGAATGAAACTGAATGAAGGTGACGAGAAATGCAATGGTAAGATCAGTTTTAAACAGCTTTGTGCTAGCAACATAATTGTTTGAGGCTGTACACTGATTAGTTTAAGAATAACGTTGAACGTAATTTCTTCTGTGATGAGTGGAGTTTTGGTTTTAATTTTGGGATTTCAAAATTCCAAACTCTTTTTTTTCTATTGTTCCCATTGCCTATACTCTTTCCTTTGACTAGTTAGGTGATTTTTAACCTTACCAGAGATGGTGATTTGCAACCGGTAATATATGAACGGTATGGTGTTGACAACTGCGATTGTTCAGAAATCGACAC